ATCAACTAATTTAAGAATGGGGAATGAACTAAATTAATCTGAAATGAAAGTGTCCTTAAATATCAAGTCTTTTTGAACAGGTTGTAATTATGATTCCTATTTCCCTTAGTAAGAAAATACATGCTGTATTTTCACATCTTTAACCTGCAGCTCCCTCTAACAGTCATCTCTTTCTGCTAGTTCTGCTACTTGAAAAGAAAGATTTGGATACAAGTTACAACCCTTTTCTAAGCAGCTACTTTTTCACTTTCCCCTCTTCCTTCCCTTTCCATGCTGAGCTGCAGTCACAGACACCTTGAACTTGTTAAAACATGCTTAAACTGCCAATCCTAATTATTTTGCACTCCCTGCAAATACACAAAAGACACTGCTGCAAAGTTCAGCGAAGCATTGGGTGCTGCTTGAGAAGGCATTTCTGAAACCCGGAACCTTTTAAATCCTACAAACATGCACCCTTTGGCAGAAATGAGTCTTGAATCACTTACTAAGTAAGCTACAAGTGCAAATTAGATATGTTGTATCATCAGGCACAATTTCTATATAATGTTTGTCATCAGAAAGTTTGTCGGATATTTAAACTTCTAGAACCTTTTCTAGAGGCAGAACACACTACAGACTATGTTGCATTCTAATTGATGAAGAAATAGAGCTGGAACAGTCTCTTCACTGCAAGCGGCATTTAGTTGTGAAACAGTCTTCAGCCTGCTGACTCTGAATTGAACCGTCTTGCTTGTTCGTTAAGGAACGCATTTACAAAAACAAAAGACATTTGCAATAAGAAGTGTTTCTTTAAATACTTCTGCTGCAAAATTAAGCACACAATTTAGCTCCCATCTTAAATCACTCAAACGTGAAAAGTATGGGGCCCAAACTCAGTGCTGTCTCAAAAGACAACATTTACCCATCACACTTCTTCACCAGGAATCTTATTAAGGTAACATCAATATCCTAAAACATAAATAAATACTGATTTTAGTTAGGCTATTTCCATTACATGATTTAAACAGGCTACAAGGACATGTTTGAAAGTATGATATTTCAAGTACCTTTGATACCTGACGGCTAAATCGCAGACCACAGCCTCCTGCAGTTGCCGACACCTGGCTCCTGAAAACCATCAGGTCCACAGCCTGGCTCCAGTGGCCAGCACCCAGACCTCTCGTACCACTCATTAGCTAATCTGGCTGGACGCTTCCCCCATCATCTCACAAGAAAGAGAAGTAATGGGAACTCCTGCCCTTACAAGAAAGTTGGGAAGGGAATTTTCAATTTCCTTGCAAATACATTTCAGACCTTTAGGTCTGGAAAATAGCTCTGCCCATAGACCAGTAGACAGTGCTAAATCTTTTGTCTCCCTCACTGTAGAAAGACATGATGATATAGTTCACTAGATTAAATGCTGTATCACAAATCCAAGTCAGGAAAAAAAAAAAAAACCTGCAGAAATCAAACCCTGCTATTTAAAGGTTCTCTTGCTGCTCAACGTCTCATGGTCTTCCCCCAAACTTGTGTGATATTTTGCATTTAAGCTTGATAAGGTGCAGCCCTTAGCTCCAGGATTCCCCTGTCCCATGCTAGGATGGGATTCTTGCCAGGCCTGACCCTAAGGCCCTTAAAGTCAACTGAAGGACAGCAGTAGGATCATGTCCCACAACAACTCTCTCTGTCCCGAAACATGAGGTACTCTCTCCTAATATTTAGCCTGAGTTTCATTAGGTAGGACCTGGAGTTCTCATCAGTTCCCACGATGCAGATCCACTCCTGTTCCTGTGGCTTTTGTGGTGTTATTCAGACTATAGGCAAAGGATCAGAAGGTCGAATTTGCAACCCCAAGGCTTATTAAGAAACAAGCTTGAGAAAGCCCCTCTGTAATCACTGCCAGAGCAGAGGAATTAACAGACCACTCAGCAATCACGTTCAAGGACACAGCCATAAAAATAAAAGCTTTTTATTATTATTAATTTTTTATATACCATTACAGAAACATCTGAGTGACATTCTCAACAGCACGGGCAGCTCCACATTCCCCTGCTGCTGCCGTCAGGTGTGAGCGCAGGGTGCTGAGCTCCCAGATGTGCTGTCTTGCGTTCCTGAGCTGCTTCTGTTTGCAGTGCACAACAGGCAGGCTCCTTGCCCTTGGCAGGGAAACCTGGCCCTCTCGGCTCTATGGTGTCACCTTTTTGTATGTAATGTGAAGATGTTGAGTCATGGGCTGTGTAGTGGTTGCCATGGAGACAGTTTGTTCTAGTTTCCCATCAGAATTGAGCCTGAATTTTCTGGTAATCTAAGGGGATAAAAAAAAAAATCCAGCAAATAGTCTTTTAGTTTGGTATGTCTGGCACTTAAAAAGAAAAAATAAACCATCCGCAGGCTCCCTAGAATATACTTGGCTTTCTACTTCTCAACCAGGAGATGCCTCTCTTTTCTTCTTTGGCATAGCAAGCATCCACAGGCTAAATTCCTTACCTAAGTTTTAAATCTTTCCTTCACTATGCTTACAGTATTCATTTGCAGTCAATGCAACCTGGATGAAATAATATAGTCATTAGAGCCATATGAGTAAGCTACAAGTAGTTTTCTCTCTAAGAGAAGGCAGCCCCTTCCAAAATGTCTGCTGTTACTGCACATTTAGGTCCGCTGCCAAGAACACTGTACACAGAGCAATACAAGTACACAGCACGTTTGCCCTTAAGTAGGGCTGACTCGATGCATTTATGGAGGATGGAAAATGAGCAAACACAACTGTCATTCAAAAGAAAACAAACAACAAGGGACCTTTTATGTGCCAAAAGTATTTTGTCCTTTCCAAGTATCTCCTGCCTGCTTAAAAGTTGCTCTCATGAGGTTTTGCTAGGAAATGTTCTTTGCAGTTGGGATTCACCATATTAATGCACGCTGTGAACCAGAGGATTGTGGCTAACGGTAGATTATTCAAAGCCAGGAAAAGATTATCTGCGTGTCTGCGTTCTTGGTTTTTATGGCCTAACTGGAGGGGGAGAGCAGATATTATACAAGCAGCACCATTATAACCATTATCACATTTAATATAACAGTTTATCTCTTAGGAAGAGAGAGGGATTCACATAAAGCAAAGCCAAGGTCATATATTATGACAAGCAATAAACTTACTGGAGTCTGTAACAAACTAGATTTAACTCATGAAGCTCAGTTTGGAAACTGCAGCATATTGGTGAGAAGGCCTGAAAAATATCCCAGCATCTTTGCTTAAGCGTTTTTAATTTGGGGGGGGGGGGAAACCCTAGTAGAGCTCCCTGTGTTTTTTTGACATTATATTCCTGGACTGACATTTTCTGTAGGGGTGATGAGTGATTTTAGGGAGGAAGTTTTGTGGGGTAGTCAAATGGCAGATCTCTGCATTAAACCCATTAGCTTGACTGCATATCAGTAAGTTTTATGCCAGGTACCATGTAGGCTGTGTTAGGAGAAGAAAGGTCCTGGTACAGTCACCTCAGTACAGGCAGTCACCTCAGTATAAGCATGCTAACAACCAAGCTGAATGAGACTATCAGGAGACCAGTTCAAGACCAGTTGGAGGCTCAGGAAGATGCCCTGTACTGGACAAGATTTTCAAGGTGGCCTTCAAAATCACAAATGCTCTCTCCAAGTCACCAAGCTGTGCTGGAATAAGGCTTTGGTTACACTATATTAAGACTGGGCTTGAGCCTCTGCTGTTGTGCCTGTAGACCAGCAACAGTTTCAGCCCAGCAGCAAAGAGCACTGCTGTCCATTTGGAGGCACAGGGCCTACAAGTAACATCTTCCCTGCCCCTCCATCTGGGTAGGCTGTAAGCCTCTTTAAATTGTACAAAAATATCAAAAGAGAGGATGCATGGCTGCCCTGCTGAGTTGGAAAACTTATGATCTGTGCAAGTAGATGCCTGAACCCAGGTTTTAACAGCTTCTGCACACATTGTAAATCTACTCTTAGCTTGCCATGAGAGAAAATAGAAAAGCGGGCCCATCGTTTATGAACCTCAGTTCTTGTTTCAAAATAACATTCTGATGGGTGTCTGCTCCAGCTATGAGGCCCTGTAGGAGAATGACCATATAACCATTTGTATGATTTTTTTAAGTCCACAGCACCTCTCCGAATGGCCGCTACAGTAAGAAAGTATCTCTGCACGCTCAGCAGTTGGCTCTTCAAATTATTTCAGTGCAGATTTGCTGCACATCATCCAAAAGAACTGTTTACAGTTTGGTTCCATTTGCTGCTTCCCACAATGAACACAATCCTAGGGACAAACAGAAACAAAGCCTTCGGGATGGCAGGAGTCTGAACTGGTAACCTGCCAAGCATGAATAATTTGCAGTCACTTAACCAGATCAAATTTAAAAGTTTGCAAATGCAGTGCATTAAAGGAAAGAAGAAACTAAAAACAGTTAGGAGCACGGTGGGGTCAAAAATCATCCTATTCACAATACACTTTCACAGAAATAGTCATCTTACCGTGAAGCTTTTTTGTCCCGTGTATATACTTATGTGCGCAGGCACCAACATTTCTACCAGCTTCTCTCTCCCTTACAAAATAGCTGAAAAAGCCTTGCCTTTTTCAAAGAGCAGCATTCATGTTATCATCAGAGTGATTCACCCTGGAGACAGCAAGCATTGCTGGGTGAGGACTCTGCACGTCTCTTCAAAACTGTGTTGAAGGTTGTATCAAAAGTAGAATTTAATGCTGACTGGACTGAAACATCTGTCATATGAGGAAAGGCTGAGAGAGCTGGGATTGTTGAGCCTGGAGAAGAAAAGACTGAGGGAGGATTTTATCAATGCGTTTAAATATCTGAAGGGAGGGTGTAAAGAGGATGAGGCCAGACTCTCTTCAGTGGTGCCCAGTGACAGGACAAGAAGCAAAAATACAAACTGAAACACAGAAAGTTCCATCTGAATCTAAGGAAAAACTTTTTTCCTTTGAGGGTGACTGAGCACTAGAACAGGCTGCCCAGAGAGGTTCTAGAGTCTCCATCCTTGGAGCTATTGAAAAGTTGTCTGGACACAGTCCTGGGCAGCCTGCTCTTGCTGACCCTGCTTGAGCAGAAGGATTGGACTCGACAATCTCTAGAAGTCCCTTCCAACCTCAACCATTCTGTAATTCTGCTATTTTTCACCTTAATGATTTAACAAAATGCCTCCGTTTTCTTTTAGTAGCTTCCCCAAGGACAGTGGAATACTCTCAGTTTGTGCAGAGGTAAAATTATTGAGTAGCTTTTCTAGAGCAAATGTGTTTTAAAAGACAGCTTTGGTCAACTCCTGGAGAAGAGGAGGAGTTTCCAAATCTTTTCCTCAGACTCCTCTCACACACATTGTCAGAGACTCAGAGTTTGCTGCAAAGTGATCCCAGCATAGCACTGGTCACTAAAAAAGATTTTGCGTGAGAAACTTTCTTGACCTGGGCATGACTGTTGAGGCTCAGGAAGCAGCAGAACTAACTTTTGCGTGAAGATGGGGATAACAGGCAACAAATGTGTGCTAACGTTCAGCAGTAGAAAGATACAGGATTTCTTGTTGCTCCTGAAGTTCAACTTATCTTAAAGAGATGGAAAGAGAGAGAAGTTTTTGCAAAAATATTACTTTCAGTGAAGGTCACTCAAGGGCACGGCCATTAATTATTGCCAATTACCATGCTCTGGAACAGTGTCCTGTCCATTGCCTCTACCCTTCCTATACATACACAGCGGATCCTCCCTCAGTACCAACATCCAACGCATTCCCTTTCATTTCACCAGCAGGTTCCTGCCAAACACACAATCCACACTGCTGTTCGCTTTGGAACATCTTGTCCTTCTCAACCCATCCTCAGCTAGTTCACCTGAATGTGGCTACAGCTGGAATTCAGCTTGTGTGTCCAGTAGTTGTCAGTAGTTTACTGACAACTGAGAGTGAAATCTGACAGAGCTGCTGAGGATGCGTGGCTGTTCTGAGGTCTGTGGGTGCAAAAGCATGAACAGAGCCATACCCAAATGATGGTTTCACCAATATTTGCTGATTTTTTCTAATAATGCATGGCAGCATTGCTCAAATACTCTAAGAAGGAAGAAGCAAATCAAAAGAACATAAAACACACTTATCTTTAGCGCTCGTACTGAAATTATTTCACAATACACCTTAGCTCAGTGTTTCTGAATAGCCCATTCTGATCTGTTACCACTACTTGCAATGAAGAGTGGACATAAACTTTTCTCATCTCATGACCAAAAATCAAACAGCAAGGGAGGAAATTGTGACCATCAGGGGAAGAGACAGGATGATAGAACATCCCAGAACTGTGGAAGTCAGAGCTGGAAAAGACGCATGACTGACGGGATCAAACAGGGCAACATAGCTGGAATCTTTATGTGCAGAGTGGGTTGTTTTCGGGGAACCTGCCCAGTGCTGACTCTGCAAACAGAAGCTAGTCCCACTGGGCTCAGTGCTCAGTCCCAGCTTAGGCAAAATACATGAGCTCCCTGCTAACACCCAGAGTAACTGGCTCCTGTGGGACATGCCGTGCCACAGGCACACAACATGCCTGAACCACTGCTGCACTGGCTGACACACAAGATGTCTATGAGAGACATTCCATGTGCTTTCCCTCTAAGCATGGGCCAGCTGCTCTACAGCTTCACTGGCTCTTCTGGATAATCCAACTTAGAGTCTAATTTAAGGAGACACAAAAACAGCTTTAAATACTTCAAGTTATGCGCAGGCAGCATTAGAACTTTGGGCACCAAGTGAATGGGTCTGTATGGCCTCACATTCCCCTCGGGCACAGACCCAAGATCAAAAGATCAGGACAGGCACATACACAGTGAAGCTACTCAAAGCAAAATGAAAAGTTACTATCGCTCTTGAATGACACTGGGAGAAAATTAAAAGGAAGCTGGGACTATGGCCAAAGAAGCATGCCATGAAGTTTCCTAGCAACACGGAGCACTAATTTTAACAGACTTCCAGAGGGATTTGGCAGTGCTGGAAAACAGCAGTACTCAAAGAAGTTTCTATGGAGGAAGAAGGAAGTTCCAATGGAGGAAGAAGGAAGTTCCACAGAGAAGCACATGGCATCTAGAAATAAGAGCCATCTCTGGTTAGCTAGCCCTCAAAATCACATAGCGCAAGGCGCCCTCTGTTACTACTTTGAACTACTTGTTACTGTCTTTAATTTTATTGCAGGTTCGATCAGTCATCTCCCTCTGCTCCTTAGGAGAAGCTAAGCAAATTAAGTATGACTCTCTCACAACAGAATGACAGTGAATGCACATCACTGCATACACACTGGCAGAAGCATATTTCCCTTAGTTATTGGAAGTTTTGCTTTTCCCTGGTCTAAAAATCTCCTTCCACAAAAGTCATGCAACATTGTTATATCTACAAGCATGGTGTCATGAAGACTGGATGAAAATATTGCTGCAGTGAATCAAGATTCACTGCAGAATTGAAGGAGAATAGAGGTGTCACTCTTCTCCAACATCACAGCGTATATTGCTTAAAATGCAAAGGTTTCGTCCTCAAAGCAATATCATAAAACAGCAGCAAAAAAAGGGACTCTCAATTAAGACCCGTCTATAAACGCACTTTAACTCTTCCATTTAGCACTTCCAAAAGTGCCTGTCTTCCATCTCTTTGGCTGTTAAACATTTTCTTTAGAAGCTCTGAGGGAGCTGCTTCTTCCCTTCTTCATCAAATATTTACAGTGCAGAAGTGGCACAGATCCCTGGAGAACACAGAACATGATGCAGGGAGATAGGTTTCATGAAACCTATAGGAAGTTTTTTCCTCTGTGAGTGTGCTGAACACTGGGTCTTTTGCCTTCCTCTTCCCCAGTGAAAAGCGTTTGTAATTCTAAGGACACGAAGGATCCTCTGAGAGATGACTTACTATTTTGAATACGGTCACCTCTGCTATTGAGCTAACCAAGTGATACTAAATCTTTGGTCTCAGCCATATTCTGCATTCCCTAACACCTTGCAAAAGAATGCTAGAACAGATGCAGCTAAAAAAGAAATAAAGGTGATGTTTGCTTTAAAGAAAACAAAACTTTTTTTTAAGCGAAATTGATTCCTCCAGCTTTGACATAACCTGAGCAATACGTCTGAACACAGGACATGAACAGGAAATCTAGCAAGAAAGGAAGGCTTGACAGGATCTTAACTAGTCCTTCATATTTCAATATTCATCTGTTTGCATCCTTAGAGTTGCATCTGGTCACTCATTCTTTCTGTATCTTCACAAAGAGGCCAAGTCAACTCTTCAGCACCATTCACATATATATGAATAAAAGGGAACAATTTTTATTTTGGTGCTCTTAGAACACTTAAAAACAGCTTGAGGCTTTGACCCAAGAAAACATATGAATGATTTCCAGATAAAGCTTCAGCTCAAAGAACATCTACTACAACAGGCATGCAGAGAACTACCCAGGCCCTCTGCTGCCTTCTAAGATGCAGCTTTATTTATTACATGGGCTACAAATAAGTGGACTCACTCTTAGGGGAGTCATTAATCATATAGAGAGTGGCTAACAGCTCTGAAGCATGGATTTGCCAGAGCCTGAAAATCCTGGAATTGCTGAGGTTTCACACCAGCACACTGACTGCCTGTCCCTGCACTCCCCTTACTAGTTCCACAGTACTGCTGGTAGGACATTTACTATGCTCTCAGCCAAAGCACTGAGCTTGCTGGTCAGCAACCTGCTCCAAATATGACTGATTGCAGCCACAGCAACTACACGTAGATGGACAACAGCAGGTGCTTGCTCTGGGTTGGTGTGGATGCCTAAGTACCACTGCTCGTCAGACACCAAAATCTGAATGCTGAAAGAACAAATGGAATCAATATTATTATTGCTATCAACTCAGTAAAAATAAAAGGGGATGGTTCTCTTAAAAGTGAGCTTGATTCAAAGGGTGGCTGATGGCACCCCAGGAGGGCAAGCACCATGAACACCTGGGACATGTAGAGACTAGAGACTGCTACTTCTTATACAGGAGTGAGAAAACATGAAGCACTAGGAAACAGCACAGCAAGGAGGAAGCAGCTCTGGTACTTACTGCTGTGGGAGAGGTACAAGGTAGCTGCTTCACAAGAAAAGAGCACTGCACGGATGGCAGAGGGCTATACACAACAGAAAATTTGTTTTGTGATGTCTTCTTCGTTATGAGGGTTGCTGAACGTTGGAACAGGTTGCCCAGAGAGGTTGGAGTCACCTGGAGAGGTTGGAGATATTTAAAACCCAACTGGACATGGTTCTGGACAACCTGCTCGAGCTGACCCTGGTTCAGCAAAGGGGTTGGACCAGATGATCTCCAGAGCTTCTTTCCAACCCAAACTATTCTGTGATACAGAGAAGTTTCTATTAACGAGAGAAACAGCAGCAGCCTCTCCAGGGGAACTTTAGGTCAAAGCAGACTGTAGGAAGTCTCTACTTCCCATGACCTTGTTCCTGAGGAACAGGAGAAGAACCCAGATGAGCTCTGAAGTCAAATCAGGTTGCTCAAGGTCTTGAAAAGCTCCAGTGATGGAGACTGCACAAGCTGCTCCACCAATTGCCTGTCCTCATGGAGAAAAATTTCTCCTAAGAACCAGTCTGGGCATAAATTGAAATGAGAGGTTACCATCTCTCATCCTCCCACCACACACCACTACGAACAGCCTGGCTCTCTCCTATAACCCTTCGTAGGCACTGGCCAGCTGTTATTAGGTCCCTGAAGCCATCTCTTCCCCAGGCTGAACAACTCCAGTCCATCAGCCCCTCTTCACAGGACAAGTGCTCCTGCCCCCTATCACGTTGGTGGCCTCCTGCTGTTGAGCAAAATGTCTTTCTTCTATGGGAGAAGCCCAAACCTGGGCATAGTACGCTGCAGAAGGTCTAACGATCGGCGAGCAGAGCGGGACAATCACTTCCCTGGGATCTCCTAGCTATGTTACTGTTCATACAGCCCAGGATGCTGTCGGCTTTCTCTGCTGCCAGGGAAACTGCTGGCTCACATTCAGCTTCTGTCCGACCAAGATGCTCAGGACCTCTCCAGCAAAGCTGCTCCCCAGCCAGGCAATCTCCAGACTGTATCATTGCCAGTGGCTCTTCCTTCCCAGGGGCAGGCCCGGATAGTCTTCCTTGTTTAATTTCATGAGGTTCCTGATGGCCCGTTCCTCCAGCCTGTCCAGGTCCCTCTAGATGGCAGCCCAAACCTAGACTGTATGCATGCCCTGATTCACCCCAATTTGGTGTCATCTGCAGATATGAGAGTACACTCTGTTGGCTCCTCCATGTCATTGTTAATGCCATCACACAGGATAGGTCCCAGGATCAACCTCTGTGGTATTCCACTTGTAACCAGCCTCCAGGTAGAACATGACCCATTAACCACAGCCTTCTGAACCTGACCATCCAATCAGTTTTTTTTTTTCCCCCCATCCAGTTGTCCACCCATTTGAATCATAACACCCCAGCTTGGATACAAAAGTACTGTGGGAGACGGTACTGAAAACGTGGTAAATTCAAGGTAAATGAAGCCCACTGCTCTCCCCTTGTCCAAAAATTCAGTCATTTTATTGTAGAAGACAATCAGGTTAGTGATGCATGATTTACCATGACAAAAACATGTTCACTGTTCTCAGTCACCTTCTCCTTCATGTGCCCAGAAATTTCCAGCTACTGAAGTGAGGCTGACCAGCCTGTAGTTCCCTAGGTTGACAACCAGGCTTTTTCCTGAAAATGCATGCAATATTTGCTGTTCTCCAGTGATCAGGGACCTCCCCCAATCTTTATGAACTTTCAAAGATGACAGAGAGCAGCCTTTGAAGGACATCAGCCAGGTCTCTCATTAGCACCCTCAGGTGCAGCCTGTCTGGGTCCCATGGACTTGTATGTGCCAAGTTCTCCTAAGTCATCTCCGACTTGATCCTCATCCACTGCTGGTAGTTCATCTCCTTGAACTCCTTCATTAAGCATAGAGTTGTTTTGCTACAGTTGCTCCACGGAAAGCAGAATATACAGAGCACCTTTGAAAGGTGCTCACTCCTGGAGAATAAATATCAATGTTTCAAGGTCAGCAAGACTCATTACATCAGCTTCTGCAGGACATGCATGCAGGGGGGAAAACTGGACCAGCAATCAGTTGCTGACAGAAGTGTACATACATAGCACAAGTGAAGGCTTCCAGGCACTGCTTACCAGCTACAGAAGCATCAAGAGCATACAGAAAGCAGAGTAGCCTTGAAGAGCACAAATATCTGAAAATGTGCCTGTTCTCCAGGCACTCATGGGAGATCAAAAACACTGTTTTTGGAAATAAACCTGTCACCTTTCCTCTCCTCATTCAGTAGCAGTTCAGCTCACTGAAAATGTGTTACTTGACTCAAAAAGTAGTCATAGAACCTAAATATTGTTTACCTCCTCCTTGATAAAACTTGGACATAAAAATGTTTGTGGCTGGTTTGTGAGATTATTGACCTGCTGAGGCTTCGTGAAAAGTCTGCCAGGATTTTTGCTCCTTCAATTGTTGCAGTAGCTTCTCTCCCTGCAGTACCAGCAAAAGCAGCATTAACACCTGAGTTAGCTATGGACAAGAGGTTTGTACATCAGGCAAAGAACGCAGAGCGGAGCTAAGAATACAATTTCTTTGGCTCCTTACCGCTACAATGATTCTGCAGAAAGCACTAACATAAAAAAATGGAAGAAAAAGCAACATTCTGAGCAGCATGGTACAGACCAGAAGGTTTTCAGGGATTAGCACCATCTAACCTTTGAGCTGCAAGATGACTGCTGAGCTCATCATTTTTGGCTCTCTAGTCATCTCTATAGAGGCAGTGGCTATGCTCAGACTATTTCCTGTACGCAGCCTCTACAGGGTGGGCCCAGCACCGATGAACACAAAGTACATATTCTGCCTGGACAGCTAAACGCATTATCTAAGCCCTATATATTTAATGAAGAGAGTATCCATCTTGCAGCAAAATGCTTCAATAGCTGGCGTCTTATCAGACATAACAGCGCTCTTGCACTCCCTGCACTAGTTGTCCTCAGCATCAGTGCACACAGGGTAAGATCTGAGAATTACTCATTCCTCAGAGAGGTAAGAAATGCTGTGACTGCATCATATGTACTATTAGCGTTGCCTTAGCAGGAACATGCTTCCCAGTGAAAGCTCCTCTTTACAGGTGGGAAGCTCATCTCATGCTGAGATGAGCTTCCCCCCATCTCAGCATGGCCATGCCAGCATACTTCTGGAACACAGCCCTGGGCCAAGGAACGGGTGGCTTAAGGAAGGGGTGGTTCCAGTCTGAATTAGTGTCAGGCTGAACTACATCCATCCAGATTTACTTTTCAGTGGGCAAAGAACATAGTGACGAGTTTTTCTCAAAACGAGTGACTAAAATGGCAGCATAGGCACCCTTCTCATGACATCAGTGGTCTCTTCACTTCCATGGGCAATTTACACTGTTCTTGGTGTAGAATAACACATGCTGGGATCTGATTACTTGTCATTCCCTCTCATTTAACACCCTGATTTACCAGCAAGGATCTCCTCGCTAATCATCACAATCAGTACGCGGGCCTGTACCGCCCTCGTATACTAGTTGAGCACCGATCTTCAACTGTGGAGAGCCCTTCTTTCAGCCTGCAGCCAAAGCCAGCCTTGGAGCTTTCAACGAAGGAAGACATTTATTGGCTTTCAGCCGCTTCTCCCCTCTCCTCCTGCCAATCCATTTGCTAACATTTCAGACTTTGAGTAGACCTATACACAATGAGGTAGTCCATCTTATTTAAAATGTTTCTAATTAAGAGTTCTGGTGCCTTGGTGATATCCACAATATTTAATGGCTTTGTTTCATAATATATAAAGGAGACATTATAGCTGTTCTGTCAAGTTCAGACTGCCTTTCCAGACTTCGGATATTGTTTCTGTAGATATAAACAGCTATGGGGACAATTTTGCACACGTGAATTAAGTTAGGGAGCATACTTATGACCCTGACCACATCTGCACAAATTTTGGCCCTTATCTATGGGTTTTAGGGGACATAAAAACTAGGTTGCAAATTTAAGTCCTAGAGTCCAGAATAAAATGATGCTGTATTTGCTGTCATCAATATAGTGCCTTTTCTCTCCGAGAGCCACACATCATTTGCCACCCTTTAAAAATTACATTCTCCTGACTTAGTCAAGACATTATGAGAAAATACAGGTGCAACAGTATGCTAGTGCCTACTCTACATGATAGCTCATTTAGCTTTGCTGTCTGCTTTCTCAGCTGCTACCTGGCTAACAACTTTATACGTGACAGCTAGGATTCCAGCTGTGGCCTCAATTCACCATCTTACTCACAGCTGGCTCTACCAGATCCAGCTGTGTCAACCAAAAACTGCCACTACATAAAAACAAAAACTAGTCAAAAACCAAGTAGTCGTCAACTAAGATTGGTGCTGACAGCAAGGGCCAGCCATGACAATCAGCCACCGCTGTGTTAAGAGCTGGTAGCAACTTGTGAATGCCCTAGAAAGTAAACAAACAACAAAGATTTGCAAAGGCTCAGGGATGTGTGGTTGATCAGGAAAGAGCAAGAGTGAATCACAAGCTGATCTCTCAATTAAGCTATGGGTCACTGCACAAAGAGCTTGAGAATCACCAGCTAAGAAGTTTGTGGGCAGGGGGCAGAGAGTTGTTTGCTTGTTTTTAGGTAGTTGTCCTTCAATTATTGGTGTGATCATCTTCGAAAGCCTTACTCAAAGTCCAGTAAAATTAAAAAATTCCACACTACACACCCACATACACTAACAGCAAAAATAAAACACATGGTAATTAAAAAAATAGGGCCATCATCTGCTGGCTATGACGTCAGGTCAGTAGTTCAAAGTATAGGAATCAGGGCTCGTTCTTTGGTTTATGGAGCTCCTGTATGTCCTACAGGAAGATATTCCGCTTTTTTAATTTGTCTAGTGACATTTTATTCAAAAATACAAAAAAAAACAGCCTCAGTTTTTTGTTAAATAAACAGCTGGACAGCTAGAGACAGCTGGAGCTCAAGTGAAAGAGAACAAAACCTAAAAAAAAAAAAGAACTTTGGGGTCTCCCACCTTGAACTTCAGGTGGATTGTCAGGGAAGTGCTACTAAATATCCCAAGGAGACCCGATACTCTACATACTTTATGGGCATGCCCTGTTACTGTAATTAATCCAGAAGCTCAGCGTTAACAAAGTAACACCGCTGCCACACAAGGGTATTTAGACAATTCTCTTCCTTAATAACTTGGTACTGGGTGCTGCTGAAGATGGGATTCTGGGTTGGATGGTTCTTTGGTCTGATTCAGTATGGCAGTTCTTGTCTTAATGAGGCACATGACCAGTCCCTTCTGGCCTTGTAATCTATGAAATATTTTCTGAAGATTGTTACAGAGAACATAAGCGACGATGCCACGCAATATTTCCACGAGCGCCTGAGGGCAATCCATAATTAAAGCACGTTAATTAACCTGTCTTCTCAACGAGACATCTTCTGGGGCTATTCACTACTATTTGAATTGCTAACCAAGTGTGTACTCACCTGCTCCACATGGGGCTTCTTGGCAAAGGAGATCCTGGCTATGGAGTGAGAAGCTATAGATAACTCCTGACCGTTCACCTCCCCTTCCTCCACCTCCACAAGACCTAATAAGAAGCAAGGTCATAAACGTTAGGCTACAAAGGTTAATTCACAATGTCACAAATACTAGGCTATGTAATTCTAGTGTAGGCCTTTATAGCTGACCACCACTCTCCCTGAACAACAGTTTTCTTTGACCTAGCACATAAGAACTGCAAATCCATGAAACTTCAGAAACAAACACTTTGAAAAAATCTAGCTAGACAGACTTACACAGAGTGGGATAAGTACCGCAGTCAAATCGGCAGTTTTCCCTCCAGCATCTGCTCTGTAGTTTTAGATCCTAATTTGTTTAGCATCAATTGGCTTTTGAACTTTTTTCACTTCTAATCATTTAGATGAAATTCTCTCTCATTCAAGATCTCTGTAAGCTGCACAACAAATATACCAAGGCCCTACTTCTAGACAGTGGGAGATTCTCCTAGTTTAGGAGCCAAGAAAGATCACCATGCTAGGGTCACTCTTCAGTCTTGTCAAAGGCACAGCAGGAGAGGAGCCACCACTTACAGTGCTGCAGAGGCTCCTGGAAGTGCCACAGCCTGGGCAGGCTCTCTAACAGAGAGCCTGAAGGAGACAAGAAGGGGATTGTATGAATCACACCAAACACTCCCGGATGGAGAGGTTGCAAAGAGGGTTTAATGCCACCGCTGTCCCACCTCGCCAGGGCCACAAGCTCTATGCTGCACTACGTATTCAAATACATTGAGTTTTAATATCAGCAACAACATTTTAAATCAATCATCAAAACTTCTGCCTCAGACTGCAATTCTTGTTGCAAATTGAAGGTTTTTTGGTTTGCAAACCTGTATCTGCAAATACTAACGTAACATTTTAGAGAGAATACCCCCCCCCACCCCAAGTCTGCTGCATAAGCTGTATTTTGATTTTAGGCCCTTTCCAGTCACAAAAGGCTAGCAAGCCAAATCATTTGGGCAAAGGCATGTAACCAGTCCTGGAAACTCAGTGCTCTTGACATTAACTCATTACTACCAGAATAGGGATGCCGCTTTTCAGTACGGAACCCAAAAATAAGATAAATGCAATGAAACTGTTAGAGAGGTCCAGTAATTTTCTGGAAAAGTCATGAAATGGCGCAGCAGGAAAAGGACCTCTGCCCTTTCCCAGAGATCCCAAGTTTAAGCCTGCAAGAATCTGTAGGATATCAGGTTACTACCTGTGTTCTGGGCACTGATGAAGGCCACCTTATTAGTGTCAGGTTTGAGGCGGATGAATCCACATTCTCGGTGCATTGGCTTCCTGGTGTCTGGATGGAAGGCGTTGAACCTGAGAGGAAGTCAGGATACAAAAACTGCTGTATGGCTGCACTGAAAACACAGTGTTTAGCCTTGTTTTCATCTCAGAGAAACTGCTATTTTACTTAACCACATGATTGCCTACAGTACATATATGAAGAGTAAAAGACTGAAAACATTTCAAGGTTGGAAGACGTAAACACGGAAAAAGCAGTTCCCTTATGCGCACAGCTAACTCTTATAGCTGGAATTAGTTAAAGTTCAGGCTTGAGATTTACCATAGCTCCTGAGTCTCTCTTAACAGCTAGCTCAGAGATCGCCCTGGGCAGTCTGACCTCTCATCAATGTTGCAGCCACGCTGTCTGAAATACTCCCTTTTCTCAAGGAAATATCTGGCATTACAACATCGTCTTTATTCAGCTTTTAAACCTAGCAACTTGCTTTCCTGTATATTGCTTCATCCAGGCAGTAATAGAGCAGACTTCTTTCTTTTTCCTCAAAAAGAAAAAAATTCATCTCAGATACTTACTTATTCTTCATCAGTTGTATGTTTAGTCACCCTTACCATGGACAATATACCTTACCTACGATCCTATACTGCATTAGTGTTATAGCATTACTAACTCTACACAGGTATTTGATAACTGAACAGCAGCTTAGACACACCAACAGCAGGCTAAATACCTACATACTCTAGTGGACTGTTCTACTAGTAATTTATTCTAGAATAATCCCTCTTATACGCTTTTTCACAGAATTTCCCACTCCACATCTCTTTGCAGGAAAGGAGATGAGAAGCAACCTCAGAGCTGCTGCTGCTGCTAATTCGGTGCCCAGGGCTCCCTAATGCAACAGCAGTTTCTACATATGCCTCTGTTCTGCAATTCTGATATGTCTACTGGAAACAACACCACTGCTCCTTGGTCTCAGTGACCTGCTCAGGGACTGGGGTTATGCTGTATAATCAGTCACCATCCAAACAGGAACAGGATGAATGTTGAACAGACACAGGAAACGCTCAACAGAGGGGCTTGTCCAGATACTGCCACATGGTAAGCTGGAACAGTTACTTATTACAGAAACACTCAGAACTGGAGAGTCCAGAGAACAGTGTTTCCCATGTGAAATAAGATACAACGAATCTTGCAAAGTTAACGTTTCCTAACAGTCCAACCGTCCAGAGTGTCCGATGTATAGCACCTCTACACACTGCATCAGAGCAGTGCTGAACAGCTAGCTATCATGTCACTTCTCTTCCTCCAGATTTATTTCTCCAAAACAATCACTTTACTGTATGCAACCAAAGCAGTTAATTGCTTCCTATGCCAGCTTATTAAAAATTTAATTGTTCTAATTTTTTTCATGACATGGTGATGACTGAGGGACAAGGTTTAAAATGGACAAACCTGGCAGTCACATCATAGCTCCTTTATTTACATCTGTAAGAGGAAGCTTGACAAAGCAGAATGATAATACTCCTAGAGTAACAGTATTACCTGAAGAATTATTTCTAATTAAACATTTACCACCAGCAACAGGAACAGTGTTCTCTCTGGCCTTAAGGACAGCATATCTTTCAGCTAATATACGCACACAGTGCACACCACATTAAAGTTGAAGAATCACTGATTTTTCAAAGGCAAACACTGACTTTACCCAAACAACAGCCAGGCCGATACTCAGGATAGGGCCATTCTTAACATTAATACTAGCACCCCTGTAATCCCCTCCTATATACCAGCTGGGGGTCAGTCACATGGTGTGACCATTATCTGCACAACTATGGTAGTGTGGGGGCTGCTTTAATGATACATAGCTACCACATATGAACCCACTACCTCTGTCCACCTTCCAATGCATCTCTTGCTTATCCCCTGCAATTACTTCTCGCTGTGTAACCCTCAAAACTGGCTGGCCACAAGAACAGTACATGGTGCATTATGCTCACAGCCCTGATCCTGTACCCTTTTGCTTCTGCAGTGGCAGAGATGTGAACTCATCTTTGAAAAGCTCGAGTGTGTGGAAGTGCACAGTACTTTCAGAGTAGTGAATTTTCACTGATTGCAGGTGTGCAGCTGAGGACGTCTTGCAACAGTGCTGCAACTTAGCAACAGTTTTAAAGAGAAATAAAGTCAGGCCATCCAGCCAGATCTCATTACACCTTTACAGCTGGTAGATGAAAATCTGTTTGCTTTACAACTTGAAAAGAAATGCCACCACCCAGTCTCACTGGAGCCATACCTGCTCCAATCCAAAAGCTGCTGCCAGCCCAGACAAAGCTCTGACTTACGAGAAGTTCAGCATCGGCTGCCCCACATGAGAGATGTGCACTTCTTCCAGGTACTGAAAGGGCTTCATTGTAGGGAAGGTGCCATCTCCTGGCGGGTCTGAGAGCCAGGTGCCCAGCATCCAGGAGAGGGGCTCCATCACAGGATTCAGCTGGGGCGTCTCTGTGGAGAAAGAGGGAAGAATGAGGAAAGAAAATACATGGATCTATGCTCTCCAACCTACTGTGAGCTGTTTACAGCTGGGTAGAGAAAGAACAAGAAACACAAAGTGGTCCAACGTATCAGCAACGTTCTTCTCCAGAGCAGCGTCAGATCCAAGGTAAAAAGAACAGGTATGGAAATCAGGTCTATTTTCAGACTTGCTCTTGGCCTTACTAAAGGCAACATGGGGCACTCTTGTAGACGGCCCATTTCTGACTCCTATCTGTAGCACTGATTTGAAGGGCAAATCCCCTCCCAACTACATGCAAGGAAGGAGAAGGCTGAAATCTCAGGGTAAAGAGCTAAGCACTGAATGACAGTTACACCTCTAATGCTGCAGTGGGATTTTGCTCAAGCACTGAGCGTGCATTGTTTCTATTAGTTTTGGAGACCAAGGAAATGAGTTATCATTTGGAGGCAAAAGAAAACCGGGCTGCATATATGTTCGGGATCAAAATTTGGCAGTAATTTTTTGAAGAGGTTAACAATGACTTATCTTCCTGTTTGTGCAAAAAGAGATAGGGACAGTTCAAAAGTTCCTTTGTGTAGGCTCTGGGCTCTAAGGCTAAGTAAAACTAGTTAAAAGACTACAGTACATGCAGGTTAAAGCACAAACAGAACACAAAGCTACTTCCTTTAGTCACTGTATTTATTAAGAAGCAATCAAGATAAGCTTCACAAAGATAAAAGGCTCCTTCTTTAATTAATCAACAGACAGCTTTGATAAGCAACATTTTGCATTTTGCTGTGACTTCAGAGGGTGTGACCTGAAAAAAAAATCAATCTGAGAAATTAAGATTGACAATTTAAAGTCATGTGAACAGCAAAGCAGATCCATTCTTAAGATACAAGACAGGAGAGGGATATGCCACCCCTATGTCAGGGAAGACTAATAAAAATAAAAATGAGGGTGTTCACTGCAAAATCTAGATTGACTATGTTATGTAGATGCATATGACTTAAATATACTTAAAGGATGTCCTCTTCCCTATCATAGGCTAAATTAATTGTACTTGCAGCTGTGTGAGTGAGAGAGATGGAGATAGAATTGTTTTTCCACAGCTAGTGATATCGTCTAGTAAAAGAATAAGCTACCTGTCTGGCTGGTCTAGAAGGCATGCGCTCAGCTGCATGGAGAAATTATGACCTAAAGAGGTGATACTGTGGGTTAAAATTTGCTTCATCAGACTGAGTTCCACTCTGCTCAATCCCAAATTTCAAGCTGAAAAGATTGAGCAAGGATGGACAACAGGGAGCCCATACTTGGAATAACAAAGTAGGGAAACTGAAACTTTCTCCAGTAAAAGAGAAATACCACTTTTGCTATTCGTTCTCCCACAGATTGCAAGTATAAGTCAGAAAGCCTGCTTGCATGTCAGAAAAATGCTGCTAACTACCTTTCATTATCCTGAAGTATTCTTCAAGTGAAGCAACAAGGGAAAAAGCAGGCGATCTCACTATGAAATTGGTGAAAAATCTACAGTACCAGGGCAATTCTTTTCAAAGACCATCCTGCCAGTGTGTGCATTTACCACCACTTACCAAGGGGTTAAGAAGGGACTCTCAGTATCTGTTCAACAATGTACTGGACTGTATTTTATTGTTGTCTCTACTTACCTTCCACCTGCATTGCAAGCAACCCAAGCAACAGTACATTACTTTCTGGTGCTGCAAACACCTTTATACAGTGATCACTGTTATCCAGAGCCCAAAAGATGGCTACAGGAAGCCACGTACTTCTAGGCTGCTTTTTAAGAACTACTTTTCCTTTCTACTTTCTTTTTGGGCACAGGCAATTTAGAGGGTAAGAAGGGTATCGTTATTCTGTCCAACAGGTCTTTCACTTGCTACCCCCATACTTCACTTTTCCTTTCAAGCTTTCTGAGGGCCAAGAAGTCTCCTACAGCAGGGAAGAACAAACCTCTGGAAAGACTAGCAGAAGCTGCAGCATGGGCTGCTGCTGCCCTCTCCTGGGTCAGGAGAGGGCAACAAAGTTGAGGCCTGGCTCTTTTCCCCCCTCAAAGATTATTGCATATTTCGACACTTTTTGTCACCAGAGAACTCTGTACTAGGTACACTTGATTTTCTTTTGCTTACCAACTTTGCGGCATTTCAGGAAGAAGTGTCAAAATGACAGATAAAAGAAATGACTTTACCCTAGTCAGTTATAAGCCAAGAGGAACCAACTGATCATTTCCAACACCCAACACTCGACCTGTTGTTTTGCTGTGCAGTGGGTACAGCCTTGCTGGAGGTACTTCAGCAGGTAAGCTCACTGCCCTTCTGAAGGGCTGGGTTTGCAGCCAACTGAAAAATGACAAAGTGACTGTATATCCTAAGTCCACAGCATCTTGGCAAACAACACAGCCAATGCACAATAACTACTTTTCTAAACTACCTGGATGGCAGTGAAACCAACATGCATTTTTTTTTGATTTGGATGTCACTTAGACAAGCTGTGAGCAACAGAACTGCTGGTAGGATTAAGGACCAGAGGCAGAGGTCAGTAAAGTACAGAAGAGTAAACACATGCTGTTCACATCCTACACAGGGCTGCTGCTTATCTTTGTATCGGTCTTTGACTAGTGGACTAAGTCCTTTTATCTCTGGTAGCCTTACATACCAGAGGGTAGAACTGAAAAGGTGGAAATGAAAGAGTGGGAACGAAGGCAGGAGAGAGAGGTTGACTGAGCGAGTCAGAAGAAACATAATTTAAAAACAGGTTTGCTTCTTAGGTCATGGCTGGGGTGAGTAAATGCAAGACACCCCTGTAGCACCAAATAGAGTCTACAAAGGAAAGAAAAACCATCTTTGCCTACTCAGCAGCATTGTTTAAAACAAATAGGTTTATAGACACGACATTGTTAAGAGGAATTTCACTAAACAAGGAGCATGCGCTTCCCTTTTTAAGGCTCATGGAGCACTCTTACAAACACTTTTAGAGCCATACTAGCATAGAGGTACCTGCAAATACAAAGAAATAAGAACCAAGTCTGACAATCTGCAGCATGAGAGACACTGGACACCTTTTGGATGTTTAAAGCTTCAAACTCGCACAGGGTCTTTTTAATGTCGTCTCTCTTGCATCCACATGCACACAGTTTCTCTGCTGTCTAATGACAAGTAAGCTCACAGTACAGCCTCTTCCTTAATAAGGACATTCATGGAGTCACGCTCCCCTACCAGATTATACATTTCCTTGCAGCTGGTAGGAATGTTTAAGACCTCCACCCTTTCATGAAATCCAACCGAAACTGGTCAAAAAGCTCAAAAGTTATGATGACAGTTTGGGAGGAAAAAAAAAAAAAAAACAAATGAACAAAATCCCCCACACCCACAAAAGCAATCCAAATCATCTACATCTCATTTCTTTAGGAAAGCAGGCTGAACATATTCCTTTGCAAGGTACACATGCTGCACGCTGTCTATTACTGCTCCATCAGTAGGACCCAGCCCAGCTCTAGAGTGTGATCCCTGACACAGAATACTGTACTGGCAGAAATCCCTATGCAGTTTTACCAGCAAAACTGCACCATAAGCAGGCTCTTGGTCGCTAACAAGGAGGCTAACCTATTTTCCCTAGACTGGGGAATACTTGCCATGTACAGAATTTCCTTTTGCTTTAACATGAAACTTAGGGGGGGGGGGGGAAAAAAAAAAAAAAAATCCCACACACCAAAAAAAAAAAAGAGAACTGTTTTTCTGCCTCTCCATACTTCCCTGTTCACAGAAGCACCTTCTCAAAGCACAGGGTCTACAGCTTAGCAGCTAGGCATTTTCTTGTAGCCCCTTTTCAGTAACGCTCTGATAATTAACGTACTTCCTGAAAGGATGAGCTGCCTTGTTCTGTGTGCTTTTTCCATATTTCAAGTATGGAAGCTGGCTTTATACTCTGCTACCCTTCTCAGGTAATTGCACCCTTCACATTTTGCCAGTGCTCACCCACTGTCACAACTGTAAAGTATTCCTATAGTAATGGTTAGTTTTGTAACCAAGAACCAGTATGTTCTATATCTTTGTTTCTAACTTCTGTAGTAAAATGCTCCAGTATCTGTAGACACTTCCAGAGTTCTCCTGCAGTACTAAATACAGAGAAAACATATTTTAAAAATTCTACCCTATTATGGAAAAGCCAAACACTCCCAAGAAAGGCTTACTCAATATATATTTTACTTTCTTCAATTTTTCCTTACTTAGCATTTTCATTGCTTCCTAGTTGCAAGCTATTGTTGTTTCAGTTTTTTGCTGGGAGTTACTTTCCACTCACTCTAGAATTAAATGCTGTAATACACAAGCTGTACAGACTGTTAGGAGGAAAAAAAAAATCCTAGAAAAAAACCTGGAACATCATTCCACTGAAAGAAAGATACAGAAGGAACAGAAAAGCAACAAAGTCATTATCCCCTCGGAGAGCAAGGAGGTCGAAGGGCGGGGGGGGGGGGGGGGGGGGGGGGAGCACGAATAGTGATTTCCTAGAAGGAAATATTGAACTGACAGCTACAGTCCTGCAGTAGCTGAACAATAAATCATATATAAATCAAATTCTAAACAACGTGCTCCCATGAAAGAGTGGATCTAAAAACCTAGGCAGCTTAAATAGGGGAAGTAGGACAATACTGCTGATATATAGTTATCACCGTTTGAAAAGACCACAGTGCAGCTTATAGTTTTCATTTACTTGTTCTCACAGCACTTTCATAGGTGGAGAGACTGAAATAGAGAAGTGAAGTGGCATGTCCATAGTCACTCAGCAGCACAGGGATTTCTAAAAAAACAGTCAAATTACCTGCAGCAAGCCCGGATGAGAGTTTGCTGTGTGTTAGGTCATTGCCTGCACACTTGTTGATGCAGTGAGGAGTGCATTTACTGCAGAGCAGCACGTGTTCAGGCAACAGGTGCTGTGAAGTCCCACCTAGCCTCCGTCGTAACGACTTTTCTCACAGATTCGTCCCCCCTCTTAGCCTATGTACACACACAATTATGCTTTAATCTCACTCTTATCTTACCTTGTCATCTCCTGTGTTGTTTGTAACACCAACTTATTCTACTGACCTGCCTTCTGACCTAGCTGTTCCAGTCCACTTCACCAGGTAGACAGCACAGGAAAAATTGCAATCTGCACCTGCCATCCCAGGATGAACACAATTTTATTCAAAATAATCATTCCACTTTGGAAACATGGCCATTATTTTCTGAATAGATTGCCTGTGTGGGAACTATTTCAGCAAAAGAGAACACCTCAGTTTCCCTAGACAGCTATGTCCCGGGCTCCTTTAGGTGCAACTGCAAAGTTAACCATGCCTGCACTGGAAGAGGTATTTTTTTCTGACAGCTCGTCTTTGCAACTGAGAAAACGCATCCATAACAAACATTTCCATTTGAGGGTGGATAGGGACCTGTCAATGTTTAAGTCCCACCATAACAGAGGAAAGCATAGCATCCTGCATTCCCACACATCCCCACATCTCTTTGCACTATCAGTGAGAAAAGTAACTGTGCTACTTGTTTTCTATAGTACAAACAAAAGCCTATTACCATCCTGATGGAAAACCTTGGATCCCTCAGATCACCAAAGAGGCATTAAGGCTCCATCCCTGCACAAGACCAGATGTTTCATGTTTGATTCCTTCTGCCAGTTCCCAAAGTTACCTAACTATCCTTTCATTCACCTGTAAAAAGTATTAAACACAACTAGACTTCCATGAGATTTTGTACAAATATTGAAAAGCAAATCTAAAGTGGAAGGAAATAATATTTTCTACAGATTCTTAGCAAAATTCTAATAACTTTCCAAGTGGATCCGTTTTTCAAACTCTACTGCCTTTAATATGACCTTCATGAAAGCAAACATGGAGTTTGAAAAAGGCTCCGCACAGGAGCAAACCACTGAATTTTAACAGCTTTACCTCTCTGATAAATATATATATTTTAACCACATTGCATCATACCTGTGTTTGCTGCATTGCTGGCCATAGTTTGCAGTTATTTTTATATCGCTCAGTCTGTGGTTACCTTTGCTCCCCAGAAAATGTTTTGCACTTGACTGTGAAGATGGCTATAAAGGAAGTGATCTCATGATTAAGTAAGAAAGTTATCCTAGTGCCTGCTGGGAGTCGTAGTTTTTTTTTTTTTTTTTAAACTCAAAATTGAGAGAGTTACAGTGAAGAGATGTTGTAAAAAGAGCATTGTTTCTTTTCAGTTATAGCACTGGGGGAATATGATGCTGAGGAACCTCCAAGCAGAACAAGATAGTTAGGCAGCAGCTGTGCAGGGCAGGAGAGTGCTGTTCAGAATAACCTCCCATTCCCTTGCAGAACATCCTCTTTTCTGCTTCCCTTCTCCAGGCTGTTAGATCCTCATTTCTTTGCTTGCTCTCGTTCTCTGTAATTTCTATCTAAGTATCCTTCTGGTCTTGGGAAGACGCCTCTAACCTTGTTCTGTCCGGTCCTTTGTGCCCAACTGCACTCTGTTGAAGTATTTTTGCACCTTTGGTCTATTAGCATCAAAGGTGGCCTTTGAAACAAGTAGAAATGTTTTCCTAGTCAAATGGGCAAGTAAATTGGAAGTTTGACATGGAAAAAGTCCATGGCAGCTGTGCAGAAAACAGCCCTAGGTATATTCCTAAAAACCATCATCTCCAATAATCTCCAATCTCACATTTGTGTATCTGTGGCTTGAGAATATAAGCCATCTGAGCACACTTGAGAAAATCAGAAAGCCTTACTAACTCAGTGCATGCTATATAGATCCACGGGCCAGATTCTGTGAACTACCTGATAAGCAAAGCCTACAGGAATAGCTAGCATACAGTAAGAGCGCTTCATACTGAAGCCAGATAGTGCAGATGGGGCTAAAGCTCATCTGCCTGCTTATGTTTTTGTGGAAGTGGCTGAACGCCAAGCAGCAGAAAAGACAGGTCAGTCAGCAGCGTGCTGGAATCAGGATATAAACAAGTAACAATTAGCAAAGTCAGTCCACTTAGTTATTTCACTTACACTCCCCTTCCCCAAGGCATTATATTTAGAAACAAACAGCAATCCCAGGTTCACAGCTGATAAAGCACATGATGAGTAGATGACATGATGTTAAGACAACTGAAATGTAACTCTGACAACTATTATAATCATTAACCTAATACATGTTATCTATATGTAATTTTAGAAAGCCCTCCTCAGTTCAGTTTTGCATCACAGTAAAATCCAGCATCTTCACATGAAAAAGACCGCACCCAGCAGCTGTCAGCTGCAATTAAGCAGATATTGACTGCCATGAACTATGATGATGAGCACAAAATAATAGTATAAGGCAAGAGAGCACCAAGATTAAATGAAGATTAAAAAAGCCAGCCACTAACAAGCTCTTAAAAAAAAAAAAAAATCACCAGCAAAAAAATCTTTATCCACATGAATTTTCCCATTGCACCAAATTATAATCACTGGCATAATTAATTTTTACATACTGGTCTTCAGTTTTGTTGATAAAAGACAGCAGAACAGCTAATATGTTGATGAAAACTAATTGATTTTGGCCTTAGAAAATAAAATATGTAATTCTTATGTTCTTACTATATAATTCTAAGCAGAAAAAAAAAAATCATGCCTACTTGAATAAAGAAAAATATCCTTCAGCACACTTTTTGTAAACAGTATTTCATCGTAGGGATCCCAACAAAGCTAAACACAAATATATATAAACTGTGCTATATCTATCTATCTATATACTAATTATAGAAACCTAAAATTTTCTTTAGTTATTTTCTTGACACCAAAACAGTATAAAAACACAGACCAGAAGGTATATGCAAGAAGACTACGTCAGTTCCACACGGGAATAAAATAAATCAAATAAGATCTTTTCCCCTCTACCCAAAACAAAGTGCAGGTTTTCCACACAAAAGACATAGAAACATTAAAACACATGGAAAAAGTGTTCTTGGGTATCCAGCTTCAAGAACTTCTGACCCGGTTTATTTTCTTGCACTTGAGCAAGGAAGTAGTTTGGAGAACGTGTCTGCCTGTGACAGAAACACATTCCTGGCAGTGGCTAATACTACATGGCAATAGAAAAAGAAGAGGGAAGAAAAAAAAAACCCTCATAATGGACATTGAGGGAAGAATTACCACAAGGAGCTTTCCAAATACTTTGCCAGCCACAGGTGGCTTATGCTTTAAGAAACCCCTATACCATGTATCCATCATAAGATAACCCTAGATTTTTTCCTCAATAGCCATACAAACATCAAGTCCATTTTGAATTCTACTAAATTCTTCCCCAGAATGATATCCTGTGACTAGAGTCACTGTGTACAAGTTTTATCAGCTGTTATTAAAGTATATAAAATGACTCTACTTCTTGTAATAGAAAGAGCTAAGGCCTGCTTCAACTTCTGCATAGTAATAGCTTTTACACTATCTTCTCCATCACTGAGTTCCCCTCAATTTTTTCCACTGAGAGAAGTCATGCTCTGTCTCTTCACACTTTATTATCCATTTCCTGACTTCTTCCACCTTCCTGGGGAGGAAATGATCAAACCGAATGCAGTATTTCGGTCAGGAAAAACATCCTCAATGTGTATTACAGCATTGTCATATTTTACTCCTATTACCTCACTTAGACTTCATATATCCCACGTACTGATCGCACTACATGAAATGTAAGATCAGAAGTACTTCTTACATCAACATGGAAGACTATGATGGGTTTCCCAGATACCTGCTGTCCATGACAGCTCATTGATACATTGGTAAATCTCACAATCTCCAAAGGAAGTCAAATTATAATAGGTACCATCAATTAACAGGTTAAAATAACTAGGGAAGAAAAGTAAAATTTCATCAGAAGACTTGAACTTAACACCACGACCTAACTTCCTGTCCCACATCAGGAGCTGCCTGTAGAAGCCTTACGAAAATGATGCATGTTATCTTCGACTCGGAGGCGGCAGAATTTGGAGAGGGAAGCAGTATCTTTTAGAAGATAGCTGATACTGCTGGGGAAAAAAATGAATAGCCTTCTGGGTTATGAGAAATGGCAGGTGTGCCACAAAATCTAACTCTTTCACCAGCACCTGTTGGTCTAATAAAAGCTACTACTTCTTCCTTGAAAAGTGTACCTTTCTCATGTCTTCAACCCATCACATCTTTATTATCTCCAATTTGAATAGTCTCTTATTTTAACAAAATGCTGAATTCTGCCTCAATACAAAGATATTGGGGATACTGACCACAGTCCTGTGATAGCAGACTGTTCAAGTAAGGGAAACTGATCCTCTTCAGTTCATCTAGCTTCTCTTTCAGCTTCCTGACTTGACTATCAGAGCGACTGATCCTCTGCCTCAACAGTTTCAACTCTCCATTCTTCTTCTCTACCTGTTCGCGCAAGCAGCACACCTGACTCTTGCTTTGCCTGGAGGAGAAACAGTATGAGTGGAGCGAGTCGATGAGTTTGCAAGCGCCCGAGGCTGACATGATGACCTCATTGATTGACATGGGATTGGCATCTGTGTCACCCTTCTGCCCTACCACAGCCTCAGCGGCAGGCTGAGGGGTTAGGTCTGCTGGGGATGCTGACAAACTCTGTGAAGGTTTCTGAGGGGTTGCAGTTAGTGATGAAGTAGGGGAGCCTTCTGCTAAGGTCTCATCATGCCCTACGACATTGCTGCTACAGCTAGGTTCCACATCTCTCTTTGGCCTTTTCCTTTCTAGTTGCTCTTTTGGGAAAGATGGCCTCTCTCTGGTATGCTTAGAGGAAAAGCTGTAAGAGTGGAGAGAGCCAATGAACTTGCAAGCACCAGATGCAGGAGGTGTGAAGTCATCAACTGATATGCCACTTCTGTCTGCTATCCAACTCCCCGTTCGGGTGGTTTTAGGACGATCCTCTACAGAAGATCTCTCAGGCTTTTTCTGAGGTCCTGGCTTTGCAATTAAATTATCCCCCAATGTCCTTCTCCGAGGGCCTTCCAGCTGGCTGTAGATACTCTCCTCCTTCTCCACTATTGACCCAATTTCAGTTTGCAAAGTTGCCTCCTCCATCTCTTTAGCTCCTTGTATTACCATAAAGTCCTGGTCAGAAGAGGAGGTTCTCTGAACTACCTCACAGCCTCCTTCTCTTGATTGGTCTCCATCCTGCACTGGTACCTGGCTTGCTATTTTTCTTCTACTTCGGACATAATCCAGGTTGTCGTTTTTCTTCTCTGCAAGTTGGAAGATGGTAGGGACAGCAGTGGGCTTAAGTAATCGATGCTGGTCTTCCAGTCGTTTAGAAAAACTATCTTTGGTGAAATGCTCACTGCAGAGAAATGAATACTTGGTGGGAGTCCAGTTGTCTCTTTGGACAGCTTTCAACCACTGAATCAGACGTTTCGAGTCTTTTAGAGGGAATCTGAAAAATAAACAGAAAAAAACCCTGAAAAGGTAAAGGGTATTTCTGGAATCAAAAAGATTTGCGCCACTTACTCGTAAGTTTAGGAAATGCAAATTCTCTAGAAAGCCATATTTTAATAGGTGATGCCTGTTTAGGGATTATTTCGGTTTGGGCTGGAACATTCAATATCCACTTTCTCTGTTAAGAACGCAATACTGTGGAGAGGGCAGAACTAGTAAGCTTTGTGTCCCTTATTCATTAGCAAACAACCGATAATCTTCTGCTTATTTGCACCATAAAGAACATAGCAGGCTGCCTGTAAACTAGGAAGGATAAAGATGCGCGATGAAAACTGAAATATCCCAACTTACCCAATGCATTGGCCACGCACCGTCTTCAAAATCCTGCTGATTTTTATACTGTTCATTATGAGAATATTTAATAAGACGTAAAAATTCCTGAACAGAAACTTCAGTGCCAACAAGCAGTGTTTCCATGCACTGTATCTAATAGTGTTGACGCTACCCCTTGATAAACAACAGAAACACAGGCACCAACATAACACAATCACTTTTTAGAGGCACTCAGTTGCTTTCCATATTGCACTTTGGAAATATTCCAACAGAGGAAAAACTAGAGTAGTTGAGCACAGTGCCCTTCTGATATGGGCTTGGTCAGCCAAAACCTTTATTTTCCCTTGGGTATCACCTTTGCCGGCATAACTAGCAAGGCCCTAAGTCCTTCATATACACAGAAAAAGGAAGAAGCGCAGACAAATACAGGGACGTGATCAGAGTTAAAAAACCACACGATCATAGTCAGAGTCCCAGATCACCTACTGGTACTGCCAGTGTCCAAAGCAAACATGATCACACCAGAAGATTCTCTTACCTGCACCTAAGCTGCACAGCATATTTCTAAATGGCAACAACAAGCACAGGGGAAGCTCTGCATTGTCAAGAGATTGCAAAATAGGTTCTAAAATTTGTAAGAGACTGAAGAAATCTAAAATCTATTATTGGCACTGCAAAAGAAAAAACAAAAAAACAAAGGACAGCTTTCCATTGTTTACAGATTAAGAGATGTACAAAAAGAGAATTGCAGAATTGCTGACAGAATAGAAGAAATACAGCAGTGGCATTAACATAAGTGAAATGCATCCCATTCCTTCTTTTGGGCACTGGCAACCTTCCCCCAACAAGCGCACTATAAACGAGCATCGAACACAAGGGGGTCTTTGGTTTCTAAAGGCAAAATGGCAGCAGTATCTATTTCTTAAATTTTGAGGAGGAAGGGAGTGAAAAGAAAAAGGAAAAAGAAATATCATTTACCCTTTACAAAGTTTCCCCTAAATCTGCTTATAGCAAAGCCTGTACATCCCAGAGGAAAAACAGCAAACATAACTAAAGCAGGGAAACGTTAGCCATCTCGTGAGATCAAAATCCAAAACACTAGCTCAAAGAGCAGCCTCATAACTTTTTATGTTTATGTCAGAGAGAAGCGTCATCCCACCAATTTCCCTGCTGCTCAGCGGCCCATGGTCACGCTAAGAATACAGTACGATTACGCGAGTCAGTGCATCGCTTTGGAAACTGCTGGGAAGAGGGCAAGAACACGCATGGCCCACAGCGTAAAGACTCAGGAAGGCCAAACCGCTTGGCAAGAGCCGCAAGGAGAAGCGGTGCCTTTGTGCGGCCTTATAATCAGCTGAAGATAGGCGGCTAAGCAGCAGTTTCACCGTCTGGGGAAGAGGCTGGGGAACAAAAGGCCGGTCAGGGGAACGTCCCGGGACGAGGGGAGGAACGCGCCTTCCCGCTCTCATCC